AAGAAACCTTCCCACTGTCTGTCCCCTCTTTTGTTTTACAAAAAACAAACATTGATTAATCAAATACATTGCCCCAAAAAAGGGAAATAAGGTCCAGGTGGCATACAAACCTCTGTTGCGAAGTGCTGTTGAATTCATCCAGTCAAACATAGTATCGACCACTTGTTCATAGTCGCCATATGTAGCATAGGGTTCTCCCCGGTCCAGAGATACAGCCTCTTGGAAAGTTTCAAAGTAACTTTCATCCTGACCAGCCAAGTACTGCTCAAATGCGTCCCTCTTCCCCTCCAATTTGTCCCCCGACTTGTAAGCCCCATGATCGAAGTTGCCTTGGTAGGAAATTTGGAAAACTGGAAGTCATTGTTGTTTCGAGCAGTGGAATTTTCTATTCTATTTAGGTTTTCCAGAAAAAAGTAAACTCAACATGGACTACAATTTGAACTATATAAATAGGTTTTCCAGAAAAAACAAAGTAAACTCGACTTGGACTACAATTCTAACCACTGAGTTGCAACACAGGGTTACCTTCAGCATCGCTATTGTCAACCCTGCTCGGGTGACAGCTTTGCGGAATGAATTCCACATTGGATGGCATGTCTCTGAATCGCTGTAGCCGCGCAAAGCTAGCCCTACTGCGTTGTTGAACATATAGTTGAACACCTTATGTTGCGTAGCTTCATCGTCAGCAACAAACCGCATGATGCGCATAGATGTCACTGGAATTACTTGTGCAGTGGATAGGTCTTCCCCTACCTTGAGTACAGCGTCATGGCCCACCCGGAAGTTTGCAAGACTCATTTGCGACATCATCAGCATAGCGTGGTTGATCGTCCGCAAAATGACCTTAGTTCATTGGTCACTGCAAGTTTTTTTCAGAATCAATGCAGATTTGAATCTGGGTTTTGATCTTTAATCAATGGTCAGGGTCAAGTTAAAAATTGAGGTATGATGACATCTAGACTTTAAACAGAATAATTGGAACAGTGATCTGTTTAGTTCTTGCATTGCAAGCAAAAACCCATGTGAATCCATGTGAGGAAAATGAGACCGTGGAAAATTTTGAATGGAATCCCATGATGCCTCAAATAAACACAATAATTATATAAGGTAGGGTTCAAAAAAATATTTGTTCATGTCCCATACCTGAACGAATTCCAGATCCCACAGGGCCCGCGCGAAAAAGAGATTGCTTTGCTTTTTTGTGAGTTTTGGCCTGACAGCATTGGCAAATGGACAAGTGGAATGTTTCAATATTCCCCATGCCCCAATCTGTTTGGTCCATCCGCTTACTTACCATTCTTCGCAAGACGGTTGAAAATACGAGAACTTTGCAATTCAAACTTCCCTTCCTAATTTCTAAATTCTGTGAATGGCGCATTTTGTCGGTCCAGTCAGTCGCAAAAATCATTCATATCTTTTGCCCGACACCCTCATGCAAGACCCAGAACTTGAGTGGGAGCATCTACTTACTTAGAGTTAGATACAGGGCTGTTAGTAAAAAACCAAATCTGTGCAACCCTCTGTGTTGCCTTTTTCGTTCTCTGCTGCAGCAAGTTGATCTGATCGCTCGGCTGATGCTCCTGCAATATGTATGCTGTATGCAATGCCGGAGCCTTCTCTCCTATACTATCAAAAACAAAATTTCCTAGCGCTTCACTAGTTGGTACACCTTTCAGAAAGAATTTCACTCGTCATTCTCGAAAGTGGTTGCCCTCATCCTCCTGAATCTCCCATGGTCTGGGGTACGGTCGTCCTTGGTCTTTGTCTCATAGGTCATTCCATGTCCGACAGTGGGCCAAGTCAAGCTCACTGGTGATGCACGATGGGCTTCGACGGAAGATCCACATTCTGGAGTCTTTGGTGATGAAGGTAAGCCAGTAAGCCCTGAAGTAGCCGATGGTTTCAGGCTCATGCTCTTGAGGTCACTCACCAGCTCATTCTCCGAATCAGGTGTTCCCATCAATGTTACTTTGCTCTCTGTCCGGGTCCGTGTTGGTCCCATTGGTGACCGGAGGGCTTTTGTCGGACGGTCTGGGGTAAAGTCAATGGGGCCAAGAAAGCTAAATTCCCGCTTTCGGCCACCCTTCTTCTCTTCCCCCTTTGAATTGGAAGGAACATGGTTTGGACGTTTCTTCGTCTCAGGCGTTGCTAGGATCGGGTCAACGGTGAGCATCGTCTCCCGCATTGGTGTCATTTTTGGGGCCATGACGGAAAGACAGCGCTAAAATGTGTGAAAACTGGACTAGACTCCAAACCTAACCTATTCCCTTCAACTCAAACTTGCTTGAATCAGACAGAGCTGCGCAAACGAACGCGCAAGGTAGCTCGTAAATGTGCAGCCATATACTTTGACCCCAGTTTAGCACCACATTTTATAAATGATATATCACCACATACTGTACTTATTTTATTTCACCAGAAAATAGATAAGTGGGTAATATGACTAAGATTCAATCATATGTATTGCACATGGAACACAAGAAGTATTGAAAAATAAGTTTGGTATGGAAACCTTCAACAGTATATTTTTTGCGATTACCCCTACAGATGCCTTTCGGGGTATGCTTGACCCTGCCCCGCATTTCAGGTGCCTCCACACACTGCTGCCATCCAATTGCTCCGCGAAGACTTTCTTCAGCACCTTGGCACAAATTTAAACGTGACCCCGGCATCGACCAAGTAATTTAATGGGAACTGGGAAGATTTCAGACTCTGGTCCCTGATTTCCAAGACGCTCCCCAAAGGCAAATTTTTGATGGGACATGATGGGATCCTGGAAGGTTCATGGTGCAACTTTATGGGCACTCCAACTTCCCAAAATGATTCAATATGATTGAGGGTACCCTCAGAAACAATCAGAATGCCTGGATTATAATAAAATTGTTTTTTCTGGGGGTTGTTTCCATTTTCCCACCCTCGACCTTTTTTGGTTGCCCGGTGGCAATCACGGGCGATGGCCACACGACGGAATGCCCAATCTGTGCGGGCTGGCCCTCGCCCCTTCAATTTTCAAATTTGGCAGCAACAATATTTGTATTATAATAAGTCTAATTTCTTCCAAGTTAAGAATTATCAGCTTCAGCAACAAGCTTTTCAAACATTGAAATAACTACAGCTCCTCTCATCTCCATTTCCAATCCTGAAGGGCTTTACAAGGGTCAGAGTCTGAGCGTGTGTGAGGCCTACAGTGGGCCGGTGTCGCTGCAAAATGCCGCTCGCTGGCAGAAAGGTCAGGTGGAATCAGTCATGGGCCAAAAATTGAATAATTGTTTATTATTTGAATCAATGAAATTTTGGAGACCACAATTATTAATTCAATTGGGACCTTACTGGAAATAGACTGCAATTAGCTTCTGGGCACCTTTGAACAAATCTGCCGACTCTTCTGGCAGCACGCCGAACTCCGTTGCTACTGCAGCTGGAATCATTTCCTTTTTGGTGATTTTCTTCATGATGGCGGTTCTTTGCTCATAGCCTGGACACAACCAATACTGCTTTACAAAGAAAACACCTGATAGTATAATAACAATAATGGTAGCATTTGATAACCATGATTGGTATGGATTGGGAACAGGACACAACATGTAAAGACAAAGCGGGCCCCAAACAAATTAGTAGCCATCCTATTCCTGTCAGAGCTAAATGTTATTTACAAAAGGTTTAGTTTTGCATCAAAATTGGTCGAGAAACCGAGGGTGAATGAGCAGTGTGTAGCTCCCTCTACTCTTGTCAGCCAGTGATTGGAGGCTGCTCGTAACTCACATGTTTTTGTTCCATTTTTGATTGCGTCATACCACTTCGCTTTCATGGGAAAGTGGACAACCTTCTTCTGAGCGTCTTTTCGGGGCTCCTGCCATCTTAGGATTGGGGGATACCAGATTAACAACAGTCCACTAAAAAAATAATATCCCATTATTTATTTAATCCATCGACTCTATTGATTTTGATGCGCTGGACACTTTTACTTTTAGTATTTAGGGCTGCACTGCTTCACTTGAAATTTATCTGACTGGGTGGACTATGTCCCTGGTTTGTATTGATTCCTAATTATCTGCATAGTTACGTTCAAAAGTGGTCCAGAAATTAAAACGGGATTCTGGTTTGAAGGGTCATTGTCAACCGAGACTCGAAATACTTTCTGAAGTACATAATTTGTGAAGTTGCTACTGCCCCAAAACCCAAGAAAATGGTTTAGTAGGATAGTAGGTGGGTTTCCCTGATGCCTAAATCACAATTTTTAAAGTGTGATTTTGGAGGTTTCATATTCAATCCACATTTTCTTTGATCAATTAGACGTCTAAAAGTTCACAAATTGCACTTTTTGGGTGGAAAAGTGCAATTTTTGGAAGTTCTGGCCCCAAGACCCAAGATAATGGTTTGAAGGGAACTTCCCAAAAATCGCAACTTTTGGGGGGAAAAGTGAATTTTCTGAAGTCGTGGCACGAGACCTTATCAGATAATGGTTTAGTGACTTTACGATTTTAAAGGTTTCATGTTCAATCCACATGCTTTTTGATCAGTTAGACATCTAAAGGTTCAAAAATTGCACTTTTCGGAAGAAAAGTGTAATTTTTGAAGTTCTGGCCACAAGACCCAAGATCATGGTTTGAATTCCCAAATCACAATTTTGGGGGAAAGTTGAATTTGTGAAGTTTCAGTACAAGTGGGTACGTTTCAAACTGTAAAAAAACTGTAAATTGGATGGTCTCTATTTTCTGATGAGCTGCGATTTTACCCTGACTCTAAATATTAATAATAAGAAGTTAATTGAACAATTGGGAACTGCCGGGTTTACAGTAAATTGAGAAAAGCTGCATCAGCCAACGCCCAAAAGTAAGGCTATGCGAATCGTCGGCAGCAACTACGGCTATCCCATTCATTCATCAAGATTCACTTGCGGTAGCTCAGCCCGCAGTCCAGGGTCCTGGAGGGCGGTGGTTTTGGCTTTTACTTTGGCTTCTTTGGCTTCCCTTTTCTTGACTCTATCCCAAAATTTCTCCCTATCCCGTTTTCTCATTTCTTTCACTTCTGCATCCATCCACTTCGCTACGCCCCTTGGCAAACGGCCCAGCTGCCTCCCCCTTCGGCTTCTCACCCTTTCCATCTTTTTCATCTTTTTCCTCTTTCTTTGCCTTTTCATCCTTTGGCTTTTCACTCTTTGGCTTTTCGTCTTTCGGTTCATCCTTCGTCTTTTCGTCTTTCTTTTCATCCATTTCTTTCTTCTCTGCGTCTTTGGCTTTCTCAGCCGCCTCCTTTTCTGCAGCCTCCTTTGCAAGTTTCTGTCGCAGCTCTTCCCTCATTTCATCCTCAATTTTCTTCCTAAGACGCTGTTCCTCCTCCTTTGCAAGTTCTTCCTCTTTCATCCTGGCTTTATCCTCTTGCTTGCGCTTCTCATCTGCAGCTGCTTTTTCTCTTTGTCGTGCCGCATCCTTTTCCTTCTGGCTAATGGTGGCTGCTTTCTCTTGAGCAACTCTCTCATTTTCCAGCCTCTCCCTCAATTCCTTCTCCCTCTGTTCTTTCAATGCTTTCTCTTCTGCCTTTCTTTTCTCGAGGTCTTCTCGCATTTCTTTTTCAATACTCTGACGAAGCGTGATCTTCCATTCTGGCTCCACACCACCTTCTTCAGCCTCACTGTCTGTCATGCCTTTCTTTGTCTGCCTTTCCTGTGCTGCCTTGACTTTGAGTAGCCTGCTTTCGTCTGTAATATCTTTCACTTTCCTGCCTGCCATAAGAACCTCACAATCCCTGCTCTTTTCCTTGCCAGACTTTGACTTTAGCCAATGCCTCGTCTCAGGACCTGTGCCTTCAGTGGTCACCTCCCAATCTTGGCAGGTGTCCACGGGTAGCTTCAATTCTTTGCTTTCAACAGGAAAAATCAGGTACATTTTCCCTGAGCCATCCGTGTCCACAAATGGGGCGGGCTTGGAATCCTTCTCATCAGTCTTGCTTGCTTCTGCTTCCTCCTCTGAACTGTCAGCACCAAATTCTTCCTCTTGCGTGTCCTTCTTGTTGTCGTGCTCCTGCTTTACCTTTCCCTTCTGCTTGCCGGTCTCAGCTCCTTGTTTTGGTTTCATTCCTTTCAATGGCTCCGGCTTGTCAGAGCGAAGATCTTTGGGCTTTTCCGGTGCCTTGACTTCGTTGAAAAAATCCCTGCACGGAATTTCATCGAAATCATCGTTGCCGTCCTGCCACAAGTAATCCATTTCTTCATCTTTGTCATTCCTCACTTCCCAGACCGAGTCTTCTTCTGGAGAGCCCAGCTCAACTGTTTCTTTGGTTGGCTTGTGGGTAAGGTAGTACTTCTGTTTTTTCTTCACCACAATCCATCCTTCATCACCCACGCCATCATCATCCTCTGCCTCTGACCCACTATCACCGCTTTCCGTAGCCTCCTCCTCATCCTCTTCACAGCCCTTCTTCTTTCTTTTCTTCACCCAGTCTGGTAGGGGTGCAGGTTGGGTGGATGAGATCTTTTTCGGAAGCTGTCGTGAGTAGGCTCCGATGTCACCTCCAGGCTGCACCTTTTTCATATACTCCACCATGTATGCCCTCACTTCTTCTGGGCCCCAGCCTGTGTGGGCCAAAGGTTTTCCTCTTCGCTTGTACTCCTGAGTCACTGTGTCCAGCATCTTTTCCTTCTTTCTCCTCGGCTGATGATTTGGGTAGGCTGCAACGGTTAGAAACGTCTTGGTTATGTGGAAGGGAGCCCCGGGAAGGATCGGAAAGGATACCCGTTCAGGAAGAATCTGGTCACAATCAGAAATTTTATATAAATTGTTATTTTGGGTAATGCTCAATTGACGCTTCATCAAGAAAGATTCCTGAAGTCTTTTGAAATCGTTTGAAATCTCTTGAAACAGTTTTAAAGGGGCACCATTTTGGGGGTCAAAGACCCAGACCCGGCTCAACAAAGTTTCTCTGTCGGTGGGTCGCTCGGCCCAAACCCAAAGCAGAAAGCCATCAGCAAGAACAGGACTTCTCGTTCAACTTTCTTGGTCACGCAGCTGTTCAACTTGTTGGGTTCCGCTGTGGATAGCCACAATCTGAAATGGCAGTTCTTAGTCAGCCGGGCTGAGATGTGAATAGCTATGGGATGTTGATTTGGAAACAAAAAATTGAATCGGGTCTACCAAGGGCAATATATGCAATACGCAGCCAGACTGAATCATCAGCAACATTGACATTGTTTGAAACTATTGCTAGATTGGTCTAGTGACAGGCATGTCCTGCAGGGATGGATGATTGTAGTACTCCGTATCCACCGTGCGACCACTATCTGACTTCTTCGCCTTCCTCTTTGGTTCCTTCTGCTTTGCCTTGCTTTTCGCAGCTGGCTTTGGATTCTTCCCTTTGCGCTTTGTCTCTTCTGGCTCTGAGGCAGACGGCCCATCTTCTTCTTCAGGTTCCAGAGGAAGCCGGGTTCCATCGGGCCACCTGGGAGAAGTGAGTATCTTGGCAGAAGAAGTTGGTGATCTCGGTGGGTGTGGGAAGGGCTGTTTCAAAAAATGGTCAAAACATAAACTTCTGGATGCAGTCGTAGATGGGGTAACAGTAGTAGATGGCCGGGAAATCAATGATTCAATGATGAAAACGGACATGACTGATATGATGGAATGGGCCAAACATGGCAAGACAGCAACCCCAAGATTTCAGTCAGAAACAAAAAAGAATAGAGATTAGCAGTTTAGACACATCATATTTAATGTCAACCCTGGATTAATAAACCCCTAGGCTGTTTAATTGGGAGGGTACCATTTATGTACCATATTGTGACTATTTGGAGGGTACCCCCTAATTAATAAACCATGGTTTATTAATCCGGGGTTGACATTATCTACCAAAAGTCATCAAGAAATTCTGATACTGAGATTCCTGAGTACTTCTGAAAAATCAGACCGGTCAAGGGACTCAACCCCAGCGCCCTTCTTTCCTCCCATTCTTCTTTTGACTGCGACAGTTTCACGCTCATCATCATCACCCTCACTTTCTTCCTTCTTGCTTCTCGACGAAGGTCTTTTGTCCTGCATCTTTTGCCTCTTTTTCGGGGGCTCTTCCTCACTCTTATCTTTCCGTGATGTCGCCCGGGTTGAAGATGCCCCGGACCGCCCCATGATGGGGAACACACACAGGAAAAATCGAATTGATCTGATACGTACCGCTTGAGTCCCCAAAGTTGCCGGTTCCATGGAATGGCATTCCAACAATGTTTGATTCAGCTAGGTTTCTTCAAGGATGTATGAACCTGAAAGCCTCCTCAATGTTTTTGAACACATGGATTCTTTCCAAACACGGACTGGCAATGAGAATAACTATAATAACTGGAAATTTGGATGTGTTTCGATAGTAAGATAGTACCACATATTAACAGTAACGTTGTTCTTCTATTCCACACATAAGCTGAAACGGGTTCTCACAGCAATTCTTTCGCTCAGCTCGTTCGAGGGAGTCCGCAGAGTTTTCAAACGGCCTGATTTCAGAAAATCCTAGGCCACGAATTGGTGGCTACTTGCCAGAGAACCTGAAGGAGACCAGGGCGATTAACTGTATAACCCCAATGCTGCTCCAGTGCATGCAGTTCCCTGCGATTTTGGAGCATCGTTTTATGTCAGTGAGTGGCAATTCTTTGACCCTCATCTTTCGTGCAATTTTAGAAGTCACAGGAAATCCAAGGGATGCAAGCTTTTCTCGCCCCGTTAAAAAGCGGGACAGCTGGACCCCCCACATGAGACCTCCTGACATTCTTAAAGTAGGAATTCGGCCACTAGCAGCAGACCATGATCGCCGCTCTGCGGAATCCCCCAAATAAATAACAAGATCGGGGTCTTTTTCCGGGTCCTCTCCGTACCTCTTTTTGTAGTCCTTTTTCAGCTTTTGCAGGACTTCTTTTTCCCTTTTCGTCAGCAAGTACTTCAAACAGAGTGGCCTGTCTTTCTGTACCTTGGCGAGTGGCGAATTGAAAGATTCCAGGGGCCTTCATATAACCCAAATTTGTTGACAGAATGTAAGACTTTTGAAAACAAACTCCGCCGCGATGGGAAATACATCTACTATTAAGTGTTGGAAATGATCCTGTAGTAAGTAGGTCACAACAGGAATTTAATTGACGGTCCTTGACATGCATTCATGCATTTGGATGGAAATATGTGGAACTACAATGTAAAATGTAATTTCAACATTTAAACCACGATGCGGGTTTCATCCTGCGCCCCCGTGTGCGCGCAAGATCAGCTGCAGCTAGCTGTACTTCTCTGAAACTGGAAAAGAAGTAGTCTCGAGGTCTGGTAGAAATCACGGACTTGATATGATTGGTGATCAGATCATAAAGAGAGTGAGGGTCATAGCATTGTATGGTCCGCTGTTTGTGGGCCAGAATCAGGTAAATGCGCTCCCGCCGAGCCCCATGATGACCAACCTCATCTGTATCCACATAGAAGGTGTAGATAAAGTAGTGCTCGCCGTAAAGGGCATCGATGAGCTTCAATCGCAGTCCCTTTAGGGATGGGAATGCTATACAACCAATCCGACAATACGGAAAAACTACTTGGACTTGACCTAGTTCACATAATAGCAGTTTAACAGCTACTCAGCTACACTGTTTGTATTGTCTCTTAAAACACCCTACAATATTTCAATAATAGTCTGTCCTTGACGTTTTCGATGATGATCAAAGGTGTGCCGACTGCCACATGACGCTTTGCATGGGTCAGAAAAGCCCCGATGGTGGGACCATTTTCACCCAAGAGCTTGCCCACCAAACTGTAATCCCAACAGGGTAAGCCCGCTACCTCTAAGTCACTCCCTTTGTCAAGGCGACATTGCTGATTGTGCGTGTAACAGTATTGCGTTGAAAACAGCACTGCCTCATCAACTTTTTTGAACTTTGTCCAAAAATCATTTGAAGCATCAAAGGTGTTCTTGGGAATACAACGCTCCAAATTCCCAGAGACGCATGGTGCTCTGCAGACCCCGCCAACATGCAGTTTGACCCAGTCAAAATGGTCATGTCTCAATTGACGGCAACCACGGTCCCACTCCTTAGTTAGTGGATGATGGATATTTTCATTGAAAAAACACATGGGGAGAAAAAGGGTTCAGTACTCCAACATCAAAAAACTCTGGGACATGAATCTGATTCAAAAATTTTGTGCTGTAAACCAATTCAAGATTCATGACAACTCACAGGGGTAAATCGCACTGTGAACGGGGCAGTACTATTGGTGTTGATTATGGATTCCAGAGACACCAGACTGAGTTCTGAGGTCATTGTTCCCGTACAGCTACTGGACGTTCGCGATGCCTTTGCGAGCATTGATTCCTGCGCGTTGGCGCTGCTGGTGCTGACATTGTGGGTGCTGGATGATTTCTGATGATGATGCAACTGTTTTTCGATGTCTTTCTGTTTGAAAACCTTATTTATTTACTTGAAAAGTAATATATATATATATTATAAACTAAACTAAATTTTAAATGCCCGATCTAAAACAGTAGTTTGTTTGCCCCAGGATCCTTCAAAACGCTTTGAGGGACAGTTTTCAGTACCATATCAACAGCCATTGAAAGAGCCCCTGCTGCTTTCCGTAACCGTTCGCCATCAGAATGCTTGGCCTCAAACAGAGACCCCAATGCTCCCCAAAAAAAACTTAAAAAACCAAAATTTACAGGATAGTTTGGGGATGCAAAAGAAAACCATTGACGTTAAAATCACAATTTGGAGGAACTGATGCTGAACTTGATCCCCTGGATGAAGGAGGTTCACTTGACGTATATCGCGAAAGCGACGCAAATCCCATAGAAGACCCAGCATCTGAACACGAATGCCGTTGGTGCCGACTGTGACAGCATGGCATCGCGCTGTGAAACCATTTGAACAGTGAGTAGGTCTTGTTGAAAAGAACATGCATAGCTTCAGTCAAATGACATAAGGTAATCAACAGGATGATTTGATCGTCATTTGCAGTTTTTTTTTGGTCTGTACTTATATGATCATATATGCATGTATTGCATGTATTATGAATTTTGTTTTGTACTTCCATGGTGGTTTTGAGTTTTGAGAAGTTTTGAAATTTTGGCTTCTCCTGCTGACTGTCGGGCGGCAAAAGGAAGTTTCTCTCAATATGGACAAATTAAAGTTGTGATTCATGATTTGTTTTCCAAACTACCCCGAAAAAAAACATTTATAGTTTGCTGCAGGGTTCTGAAACGTGTTTCCTCCTAAGCTGGGGTTCCACACCAGCGGCGGAGCGTATGCTCCACGAAGAATGTTTGGTGACCAAACATAGCACAGTTCCTGGGCGGAAAATGAAGTCATGGTCAAAGCAAAAACTGAACAGAGTGAAGGGCGAAGCTTATGTTGGAAACCAACCCGGCCCCCAATTAATTATATAAGTGTTTTTTTTTGAAGAGTGTAGCCGTCCCTACATGTTACATCAACGACTGAGTGCATCCAAGAATCTGTTGGCTTTCCGGCGATGCTCGACCCATCGATGTAAACCTGGCTGCAACGACGTCAAAACAAATGCATCTTACTTTTTTCTGCACTGAGATAATCCCACTGTTCTTAATCCCGGTCAATTTTTATTTTTTCTGTCTTATGCGATTTATTTGCACGCCCTGCCCCCCTCTGGATGTTTGCTCGCTGACAAGTAACGTGGAAAACATTGCGCTTGTTGAGTTCCGCTCTGGCTCTTGCCCAGTATGTTTCCTTCAGTGGCCGGTGAGCCAAAAAACAGTTACTGCAGTTTTGATTCACATGTCTGACCCCTGTAATAAATTACTGTTCCACACCCCATCAAAATTATTTTTTTGGGACCTTTTGTCTTGCATCATGTTGTAGATTGCAGTAAGTCATTGTTGTAGATTGCTGTAGTATTTTCAAAATGCCCTTAAAAACGATTCGTCATGAGAAAAACAAAATAAATAGAAAGCAATCGAGACTCACAAACCATCGAACAGAATCGGCTGATTTGCATGCTGTCCAACTTCCAGTCATCTAGCAACTTGCGGACAGTGAGACCAGTATCATCCTTGCAAGTGCTGTGAGCGACTGGGGAAACAATTGAATGAGGCGTAAAATTAAAACCATAAACAAAACACACGTAGCGGAGGAAAAAAATGATAAAATGTTTTCAAATGCACTTCAAAGGGTCGTTTTCAAAAAGCAAGAACACAGCGGCATCAATGGCTACAGCATTTCTTACAAGTAAATGCTCCTGTTGGTTCTTTTGACGGGTTTGACGACGATCATCAGTACTCAGAGCCAATCTTGAAACATTGTTGTCAACCCACAGCGCTGTTTGCGCCAGAATTGTCCAGATCACCGGTTGTAGGAGAGTGCGAGCCCCGTTCTTTGGATCTAGTGAAAAAAGGATGTAATCAATCCAGTTAGGCCGGTCCCAGGTGGAGGTTACATCATCATCCGCTACATCATTTCTTTTTGCTTCCCAAAAAGGCACAATCCGTCCCTTCAGGACGGCGTTCCAGAAGCAACGGCTGTCCACGCAACTGTTCCTGTCTGATACCTGCACAGCTGTAGCCTGCGAATTCCTACCAACAGGTTTGATTTGGAAATGCAAAGTTCCTGCCACAGCCAAAACATGTTTCAACAACCTTCTTGCAATTTTTTTGCTCTTGTCCCGTTCCGGACGCATTCGTTTGTTCTTGGAAATTGCCCACACCAACCAGCAAAATGCAAAAGATGTTGGCATTGCGAGTTTCTTCAAATAAAGTCCACCTTGTTGAGGTTGTGCCCCATGTTTCGATCGCAACAGTGAAGGCACTTCACAATCGGGCCATATGTTTCTATGAATGTCCTCTATTTCTGACATTTTGCTGTTGAAATGGGATCGAATTGATTCTTCATCTTGCGTTGAAAAAAGGTTCAGCAAAAATGTCATAACATCCCACTGTGCTTGTAGCTCTTGTCCCCTGTCTATGACAGTGACCCAAAGACCATCAGGTAGGCTATGAATTTCAAGCGGCACCAAATTTGCGTCTCGCGAGTGGCCACCATCATCATCTTCATCTACATCCATGAATGCTGAGCGTTTTGAAACTGCAGTGTCTGTTCACTTTCTGTTCACTCCGTTTCCCTCTCTGTCTAAGTGAAATTGAAATTTCCAATTGCCTACTGTTTCATGTGTGAACAAGTAACTTAAAATTGTCCTTTCCAAAAGATTCTTGTTTTGTCACCATTCAACACAGCTCTGAGCCTAAGGGCGCGAAGGACCCTCGCTGTCAATCCCAGTTTGTGTATCTCAGTAACTCAAAAATTCGATTCTGCACTAGTATTTCTGTCATGACCTTGGTTTGGATTAATTCATTCCGGCATTGTCTTTTTTCTCTGGGTATTAGCTTTCATGTCAAAAGCTTATTTTGGGCTTATTTGGCCTTATTTCTTGGAATGTGCATTATTTTGTTAAACCATGTCAAAAGCTTATTTTGGGGTTATTCAGGCTTATTTTCTGAAAATTAAATAGTACCTTATTAAGCCTTAATAAGGTTTAATTAAGCCCAAATAGCAATTAAATTCTTATTATGGCCTTATTTCAGGTTTATCTTGTAGGGGGGGGTTCAAAGGGGGGGGGGTTATCATTTTGTGATGCCACTATGCTCCGGATACTTGAATAAGCGGTTGTCAATAGATGCTTTGATTAGGCATGTTTGGTATCCTGTAGTGTCATCAAACCTCCAATTGTGCGCGGCAGCAATGGCGACATTACCTTCATTGTCAATAAACATACAACCATGAAGTTCAGGATAAGAACTAGCTGCTGTGTGTATGTTGCAGGAGGCTTGTTCAACAACCCAAGACAAAAAGCACGCAATGCACTGGTTATATAGGAATGTGCCAATAAATCGATGGCAGATCAGATATTGTCCTTTTGGTCCAAAAGGGACAGCAAACCAGATGCAGTTGGGGTTGGTGCAGTGGAACGGGATGGGTGCGGCAGTAAACACCACAGGGTGAGGCAATTGCTGCCATGGGATGTCTACCCGGTTGTGACAATTCCACGCAGCTGTGTCAAGGTGAAAGGTACGTGAGCGAGGGAATTGAACGCAGTAAACAGTCCATTTGGCAGGGGCGTCACCGAAGGTAGCAATATGCGCTTGATCTTCCCAGTCAGCGATATGAACAAAATGAACAGAGACTTGTTCATGATGTAATAGGGAATACAACCAAAGCAAAATCTGTGCCATGGTGGAGGTGCACTGTCCAGCAGATTTAAGTTGGTGGGAGATCCATTCCTTGGCCTGCGGACAATGGCGTTCAACAACAGCGTCATAGTTATGGCCAAAGAAAAAATGTAGCAGATCCTCAGCTCTTCCAATTCCTGCTCCGAAAAACTTCATCCCTGTGATGATGCTTTGCATTTGTTTCTTCTGAAGGAGTTGAATTGCAGTTAGCGAAAGCTGCGATGGCGGTCTGTTGTCCATGACGCCTAGGTCAGCAGGGTGGATCTTACGGGTTGCAGGCAGCAGTTGCTTGGGCAATACGGTCGGCATGACCGGGGCCAAGTGGCCTTCGAGCGCATGAATTGGAAAGTCCGGCATTGGATCAAGGCCAATTTGTTTGGAGGAGAGATCGCGGATGCGTTGCTCTCGTGCAAGGGTTTGTACTTGTTCACGCAAGGCTTGGTATTGAGTGCGAGCTTGTTTCGGGTGAACGACTCCGGACCATGTAGGCTTCGTTTCTGATTCAGTAGGTTCAGTAAGCCAGCTGCGTAGACGCTCTGGGTGCCCTACGGCTGCTTGAATATATTCCGGATGAAAGCTGTTACCACAATAGTTTCTAACTGTAAACTCAGTAAGCAGCGAGCGATGAGCATGTACTCGGTCAAAAGGGTTGTGTAGTCCAGCTAATTTTTCGACCTCATCGCAGAGAAGGATTCTCATGGGTGCTTTGATGTGGGGATGATGGAATATAGGCAGAATAGCACGGACAAGCCGGTCTCTATCAATGGTGCTCACATTTGTTTGTCGGAGAGACTGTAGGAACCGATTCCATGCACGCAGATAATGTGGCGGCAGAGATTTCTCAAAGTCAAGAGCAGGGATTATGTCACTGGAATGCATCTTG